TCAAAGGAAATTATATAAATACTAAAATGCTCTCGCCAAATCGACATGAGTCGCCGTGAGCAAACTGTTTACTGTCACAAACACTCGAGATCGGATAATTCGAATTCAATGGTTTATTCAAGTGGTTTTCTTGGTTTCCATATCCCATGCTTGTTTTTATCTTAATATCACTTTGTTTAACTTCTTTTGAATAACGAATCTCAATTTTTTCATCAGACACCAGCTCATTAAGCAGGATAACCATTGGGTAAATAACTAATATTAAACTCAAGCTGAAAGAAACGCATTGAGGGACAGTTGGGAACTCAGTACGGACTTCCAATAGGTTGACGTGATATGGGAGTGTGCAAGTTTGCCATGTAAACTTCAGCTTGCTTATATTTGCCCTGCGGTCCTAGGAAAGGAGCAGTGGGGACAGAGTCTCGCTAAATGTTTGGTGGGGGTATGTGGCGCGTAGTTTTTTAACCTATAAAATCAGAGCAAAATGTGCGATTGACCATACCCCTTGTTTTCACCAGATACAATAGTTGATACCCTATTAAAATTACCCGCAAGTATGTGACTTCCGACTGACATGACATCTCTTCTGCCCATTTCAGTCAAAAGGGCTTGCTTGTGTACCTAAAGAGCGCTGTGACTATCTAAGGGAAGTAACCTCCCCCCGGGTCTGCATGTGTTGCAACCCAGGTCATTAAAGGCATAAAATATGCTATATAACCCGACGTTTCTTTTGCACAATTCAGTAATTCAAGGAGGCTCTACAATAACTTTCAGCTGTTTTTGTCGTTAGTCGTGTTACATTTTGAGGTAGGAAAACCACTTTGTAATATTAACATCATAAAATGTGATTTCGACAATTGCAGCTTATTTCTGTTTTAACTTTTTAAGAAGAAAAGATTCTTTCTTTAATTTGCAAGTCTTGCTCAGCATTTTTTTTTTTTATTTTTCGTGTAATAACGTTTCTGTTTTCGTTAATTATTCATCAAGGCCAACAGAAAGTTGATCAACTTGCAGCGACCCACGATCATTTACTCTTGAGGCAGTGAAGCTTTTAAGTAACAAGCTTCATTTAACTATATAACCGATGTAATGTCATCACGTTTCATAGCTAATGTTAGCGTCATGTTACTATATAACAGTCAAATGCCTAGAGCTTGAAACTGACAAAACAGAATACAAGAAAAACTATGATCAACATCACTGAGCACCTAATAAAATAGGAAAATACCGAATCGAACAACACTTTTGTTCTCTCAAATAATTGATTGGTTATATATATCCCACGTTTGATCATCTTTGCAGTCATTTTATCTTATATCGACATCCCTTTGTTTCATTTTCTTGTCTTCTATGTCTCTCTCGATCTTTCACTGCAGTACAGCTCAGGCTAAATATTGCTATGACCGGCTACTTTATCATGTGAATATAAGATGTGTATCAGTGTCGAATCAGGCCCCAAGAGTTGTGGTCAAAGTCCATTAATTGTTGCCTGTTAAGAAAGCATTATCGTTGTGAATGGCCTCCAACAGCCTAACGAGCCTAAGTTGATATATGTCAAACTGTGAAATTATTATTAATTTTTTGTTTGAAGAGAGCATTAAGGCCGGTTTCCAGCTTTTAGAGAGCTTAAGTAAACCACGACGGCAACGGCAACTAGAACGCCATCCAACAACGTAAAATGACTAAGTTCTGCGTGTTTTGGAGGACGCCAACGACGGCGGCTATTCGTCGTTTTTTCATCTGACATTGAACGCTGACGTTAAATATTTAGCTTGAGCAAGTTCTGAGACCAACAAGCGCACTGAACAATCTATGGCAACGATTACTGAAACGATTGCTGAACCTTATGGTCAGCAACCATGCGGGAAATTAACATCCAAACGATAGACTTAAGTCAGCTGTCACAAGACTCAAAGTCTTCTCTTTTTCTTTCAACTCCAAAATAGAAAGCTAGCTAGTTCAGTTCACCTCTTGGAATCGGCCGGTCAGCGCACGATCATGAATTTCAAATTCTACACTTTTGAACTAAGAGGGTGTGGATGTTTAACAAAATCAGGATATTCTATATGGCACATTTGCCTCTGAAACGAAGTCAGTGATCCCCGTTTTTTTTTTTTTTTTTTTTTTTTTTTTTGCACTTCTGAAACAAGTAAGTAGTGTGAACGCTGCCTGAGACAATTACTGTTTAATTCTGGCTTTGATGTCTGATTCCAGGCTGTGCTCACTGTGTATCGATCCCACAATGGTTCGCCCATTGCTGAATGCTGTCTGTCTCCTTGCTCTGATGAATTCTGTGGAATGTCAACGCGCGGGCATTAAAATTGACGTTAACCTCAGTCTTAGCGCAAGAATCCGAGCAGGCGGCACCTGTGTGTCTGGTGAAATGGAAATCGAAGAGAGGACAAAAGGCTTTGTTCATGTCTCGGAGCTTTCCGAAGGTGACGTCATCTTCGGAATCACGGGACCTCAACGGAGCCCTGCCTGGTGCAAGGTGGTTGCTGTGTTTCCTGCAGTAGGTGGCAAGAATAGGACCACCCATAACGGCTTCACTGCAGACCACATGGTCATTGATCACACAGTTCACCCATATGGTAAGAAGGGAGAAATGCGCGAGGGTCCTGTATACACGCTAGCCACCGACTGCGATGCTTCTGTGAATGCAGCGGGCCAGGCCTTCTCGCCCATCAGCACCACGTTCTGTCCGCATGAGTTGAGCTGGAGTGAGTACATCACCTTGATGTCTGCAATACGTCGCTTTGCCAATCGCACTGGTTACTTTTGGTTTGATACTTCTGTATACCACGACAACGACACTGCAATGGTACCACATTGGCTCGACCAACTCCATCAAATATGCAATCAGCTTCTGCTATGCTCACGCCAAGATCGATGCCAGGAACTTGAGAATGTAATGGCAGAGTTCGTTCATGGACATCTTAACAAGGAGTACGTGGAGGTCGTTGAGCGAGTATTCCCCAACATGGGTGGTGATGTGAGTAAGAAGCAAGCTGGTACCATCACTGAAGTGGTTCGTCTCCAGGAAAGTAGTCAAATAATGTTGTTTTCCGTTTTTGGTAGCGCCATGGTGACGCTACTGATTATCGCTATAGCTGTCTTGCTGTACCGTGCACGAGTGAAGGCGGAGAAGGAGCCGGAACCCAAGGCTCTGGAAATGACGGCATAAATGTTTTTTTAGCTGCTAACAGAAGCGACCATAAAACGGGTTTACTTTTTTTGCTTTCAGTCGAGCAGTTCGCAATTTTTGTTGAAATGAAAGTTAAGCCGCACCTTTTTCTAGTTGTAGGGAGTTGATTTACGCGATAAGGTTTTGACAAACTTTAATTTGTAGATATTAAGGAACTGATATTAGTTATGATTGTCTTTGAATTTGCGTCAGAACATTTTTGAAAGTAAATATTTTTTAGCTTGTGTCAAGGGGTCCACTATTCCACTTGCTTCACGGGGAAGGAAAGAAGTTTGCCGGTAAAATGGCAATAAAACGGTTTTTGAGCTCTACTCTCTCTTTCCTGGTGCGGATATAGGATTTGTTGAAGGGGGTTTCCTAGAGGTGTCCGACGAAGTCGGGCCCTTTTAGGGGAGTTGGGGCATGCCCCCTGGGGATTTTGAAAAATGATTTCCAGCGTTTTAACGGTACGGGGTTAAGGGACGATTGTTGGTTGTTTAATATCTTTGACTACGCTTAGGTACTTATAATAATCTAGACCAATACATAAAACTAAAATTACAGTTTGATATTTTTATTCGTTATGTGCTCTAAAAAGAGAAAATGAGAAAAGATCATGGTTTCTTGTTCCATCACAATTAAGAAAATGCGCTCTGTCATTATCCTGGATAATTGTGCAAATAAAAATCTGGATTTGCCTTCTTTTTCGATTATTTCTCACTGAAACACAAATTATCATGCATTCCTCTTTGTTCGATCGTCTTTCACGGTTCAACACGTGCTCACTGCAGGCTTATTCCGGAGAGCTGAACACCCGAACCGGACACCTTATTAAAGTTACAGCGGCATTTTTCATTAATAACTGATGTACCCTTGCTGACCACTATGTTATAAACTAGTGAGAAGTACTTTTTTAGAAGAACTACAATAGTTTAGAAGAAGGAGTGAGGTTAGCGAAATCTGGAAGAAAGTTTTCATATTAAAATATGAAATCCTGAAGAAGTAATCGAAGAAGAGACAGGAGCCGAGTTTGAAGTAAGATTTATTTAAAATAAACTTATCAGCTGAACTTGTTTTGGCTCTTGTCGACACGGAGTACCTCGTTTGCTGAGCTAGGGCGCTCTATACACGACACCACCTTCTACAGAGTCCAATAAAACGATTGCGAACTTCCAAATCCATTCTCGATACGGAAAAAACAATATCATTTTAAATATGCAGAAATTTTATTATTATTAATTTTTAATCTATATCCAGCCTTAACTGATCTAAATTTCCCTTCCCTCTCCTCTGCCACCTCACAGGGTCCTAACGAGGTATATTGTTTCGTAATTGATCCCATATTTTTACCCAAAATTTTGATTCCTGGTCCCAAAAACGATGAGAATTTTGATCCCTGAACCGGCAAAAATTTGTTGATCCCACGAGATTTTCTCCTCGTAAGTTTGCCTCGATTTCATAAAAGCTCCTGTAAAAACGTAATAACTGATCGGCAGCAATCGTATCAGTGCAAGATACGGCTGTCTACAATGTCTTTTGAAAGGGAAACATTAAAATACAGACTACCGTTCCCCAAAGTTCGTTATCATAATTATCCAAAAAAAGATGGCGACTGGTACATTTACCCATAGCTTTTAGCGCACGAAAACCTTAACAACGTTCATAAAAACTTATAGAAGAGCTATAAAATCTTCAAATCTATAATACACAATGTCCCTAGTACAAGGACAAATAGTGTAAAAATTTGGCTTTTTTAGTACCTTATGGGCTGTGTTAGGTTCGCAAGGTATTGTGGTAAAATGTACAGCCTCCATCCTTTTTCCTACGGTGGATTGTTTCAGTACATACCACAACAGTGAACTGCAGGAGATTCCCTCGTCTAGGTAACTTTTTACGAAATTTGTCCTTCAGTACTCAATACTTTAAAGAAATCGAGTACATTACACAAAAATTCTTAAGTACTTCGTGAGATTGTCTTTTTTTTCGAAATATATCTTAGGCATTATAGATAAACACACACGGAAAATTGTTTATGGTTATGTTAACCCTCTCACTCCCAAGAGTGCCATGTGGCACAAAATACCATTAAATACTCAATATTTGGCCAATTTGTATCAAATTTGAACAACAAGAAGGTCTTGGACAGATCCGTCGTTTGAAAGCATAAAATCATACCCTCTGCTATATGAAACATCCCCTACAAATTAACTTTTTCCTCTTAGACTTTTAAGGTCAAGTTAATATCTGACAATAACCCACACATTATAATTAAGAGCTGCATAATAAGCTATAGTTTGGGGTATACTTCAACTATATAAGGAGTGAAATATTTTTAAACGTTTTTATTGTTTCGTTTTGAATGTATTTCAATTCAAACTGAGGCTTCTTTTATGGCTGTTAGTATAATGTATGGTATCCCACAAATAATATCTTTTAAACAGTATACTATGTGTGGTCCTTAAGTCTATTATCAAAACGCATTAGCTTAAGCCCACGATTGTTTGGTTTATGGTATTAGATACACAATAAATTGTTAACTCCGTTAACTAAAATAATTTTATCTTTGTTTCCCCTTTTTTATTTTTCTTTTCAATCTTTATTTAAGGACGGTGTCCACTAAATACAAAGGTTTTTGCGCCAGGTTAGGACCACGCGGAAAAAAGAAGATCTTTGAGAGGGCTATTGAAATCCACAAAGAAAAAAGGGGGTAGCCACGCATTTTTTCGAGATGACTAGCCTTGAATCTCAACAAAAATGCTGACATCAGCATTTTCTGAAAAGAGAAGGAGAGGCTATTTCTACACAGATTTCCTTAGATTTCGCCTTATTAAAAGCAAACAAATTTATAAAGATCTGAAAACTACATGGTAAATGGTAACATAAAAACCATTTTTGGTATGTTTTATGATAACAAAATCGTTTCAACAGCGCTTTTAGCGTCTCTAACAGCCTTCCTCTGGTTCAACTAAAGTAAAGTCTAAATACCTTTTGCTCGCAACCAGAAACTAATCACGTGTTGAAAAGGCTTGCCACTTCCATTTCATAACATAAAATGTAGGGGCAGCCACTCGTTTTTTAAAGTTATTGATCCTTTTTGAAACTTTTTACGGCGCCCGTTACATTCTTCCTGTCACCTCCCCAGTAAGCAAAACATTTGCGTATCTCGCACTTGTTTTGCGCCCGCACTACGCTATCTACAGGTACATATTTACAGTTAGATTTCAGTATAATTTCGACAGATAACAGCTAGTTTTTCAGCTGGAAGACGTTAACAGTAACTGGTTAGCGATATGCTGCTGTTCTGGTGTTCCTGGTTTAAGTACAAGCTCATTAAACTTCATTTGGTCACAATAGAAAAGTTTTGCTTTCATTTTAGTCGTGTACTTAGTAGCGTAGTTGATTGTGTTATGTCAACCCAGCGTGCGCGTGGCGCTTAAACCATGCTGCTTATAACATAACTAAAGCAAAGCGGGCGCTCTGATTGGTTAATTCAGCGTCTACTATTTGCCCATGGACCGGTACGCTGCTGAAGTGTGTGCTAATGTTTACAAAGCAAATATTTTGACAGATATTGTTTACGAAGTAATGGCCGACGTCCCTTCTGCCAGAAATGCGAAACTGTCTTGACAGTTGTCTGAAGATGAGACAGAAAGTCCATCCTTTGACCTGTTTGGGAGCATTTTTCCCGAGCCACCTGCAAAAAGAGATTCGCAAGTTTAAGCAAAAGCGAACTTGAAGAGCTTGTAGGTGAGCGACACTCGAAAAAGACGAAAGAAGTCACAAACTGGTCTGTGTCAACATTTAAAGGTAAACAAAAAGTTATTAAAGCTTAGTTCGAACTCATCAATAGGCTTTACGATAAAGATAAAACGAAATAAAGATTTAAGACATAAAATGTTTAGAAATTGTTCCTGTTAAGTTATGTGTAAACCCAATTAAATGCTAATGCGTAGAGCAGCTAATGCGTAGACAACGTCGACGAAATTACATTTTCAAGGCAATTTACTCTTTTCACGATTTTAAAAAGCGCTTACTTTGATAACAGAAGAAAATAAATTAAAAAGTCAAGTTCCATTACAAACCAAATTTTGATAGTCCGTTTCTTTTTATGTTATTTTCAGCTTGGTGTGCAGAAAAACAAATTCAACCCCGTTTGAAGCGATGAAAAAGGGTCAGCTTGATCAAAACCTACGCAGATTTTATGCAGAAGCGAGAACGAAAAAGGGCGAAGATTACGGTAGATCATTCTACCTTGCTGGGATTTCGTCATTCGATAGAAAGATACTCAATGCCCCACCATTTAGCAGAGGCCTACAAATTTCAACTGACCCAAGATTTGCAAGATCAAACCTTATGCTAGGTGCGCAAATAAAAAATCTAAAACGAAGCGGCAAAGAAAATGTCTCGATCAAACCTACTATCGAGGAAGAAGACCTCCAGAAGCTGAAATGAAGCGAATTGTTGTCCTTGTCGTCACCGCTTTCCTTGGTGAGAAACGTTTCGTTTCATGTCGGCCTGTTTTTCTGCAGAAGGGGCCTTGAAGGGCAAAGAAGCTTGACAACGAACAGCTTCAAGTTTGAAACCGATGGGGCTGGAAGAAATTACGCAACCATGAGTCACGATGATTCAGAATTATCAAAGAATCATCCCGAAGGACTAAAGGACGTTGAAAGCACAGAAAAAGAAGCCAGAATGTATAAGACCGAAGACCAAGGTGACGGCTACAAGGCCCTCAAATTGTATCTCTAGAGGGTAAATCCAAAGTGTATTGCGTTTTTCCAGCATCTGAAGAAAAATAACATGGCTCCTGAACATGGCTCTAGATGCCGTTTGGTACGAAGCACGACCGCTTGGAATAAACAGCCTCGCTAAAATGATGAAGACCATCAGCGAAGAAGCACGTTTATCCAAAATCTACACAAACCATTGTGTAAGAGCCACTGCCATCACTCTCTGGTCCAACGCCGGGATTTCAAACCGCCACATCATGGCCATTTCTGGGCACCGCAGTGGGCAGTCTCTGGTAAGCTACAATTCGCGGCCTTGGACCTCACAGCTCCATAACTGCAACCAAGTTTTGTCGAGAGCCTTTTCTCCTTCTGCCAACAATACAGTGCAGCCAGCCATCAGAAACTTCTCAGCAATCCACGTCGTTCCAGACCAAACAAGTGGCAGCGAAATCGCTCTTCGGCAAATGCACTATTCAAAACGTGCAAATTGTTTTCAACGGTTCATCCTCTGAATCGATCTCAAATTCAGTCCATAGATGATTTTGGACGGTTGTCTACTTTCTTCAGTTTGCTCATAATTCTGCTGAACTATTACAACGGTTGTTGAATACAGACCTTAGAAAGAGGATTTTGATCGATATTTCAGGAAACGTGATTAAACTTTGTCGAGTTGCTGGTGTGCAGTCGGTTGTCATGAATGAATTTTCGCGCGCTAGTTTTCTCTTGTCATGTAAGACTACACGAAAATTTTTTTTGTGATGTAGTCCAATGAAAGGACTTTTGTTGTTTCAATATCTCAATGTTATGTTATAAAACAAATGGTAAACGCCATAGCGTGCACTATTGAGTTTTATATAATAACCCAAGTTATTCTCGCGTTTTGATTGGTTCTCGCCTATGATCTATTAGAGGACAGACGCACGATTGACGTTTTTCCCTCTGTGTTTTAAAATTACGGAAAGTTTTGAGAAT